TTTATATGTATACGTTTTTATGTATTATATATAATATATTATCAAAATATCAAACTCGCTCTCTCTCTCTCTCTCTATCTCTCTCTCTCTCTCACACTCTTTCCCTCCTCTCTCCTCTCTCTCTCTCTCTCTCTCACACTCTTTCCCTCCTCTCTCCTCTCCCTCCTCCTCTCTCACCCCACCTCTCTATTTCCTCTCTCACTCTCTCTCTCCTCCTCTCTCTCTCTCTCCCCACTCTCTATATTGCTCACCAGTCGTGTATGAACTCAGCCTGTAGTTTCAGTTCCTGTGTTTGCTCCGGCGTTAGCACCTCGCTCTCCGATGCCAGCAGCTTCAGACTCTGCACACAGCTGAGCACCGGCTCCTGCTGTCCGCTAACCTCCGTCTCCAGCTTCTACGCGTGACAAACAAGTGAACAGCATGAGGGAGGGAAAATCCATCTCCGACAAACAAGTGAACAGCATGAGGGAGGGAAAATCCATCTCCGACAAACAAGTGAACAGCACGAGGGAGGGAAAATCCATCGCCGACAAACAAGTGAACAGCATGAGGGAGGGAATATTCGTTTCGTTTGTAGACAGGTAGTATGGGCTGTCTCTATCGGATGCTGGTCAATTGCATTAACTCATTTGGGTTCGACAAACATATAATTCTATGTGATTGAGCTATAAATTTTGTGATGATAAAAAACCTAAAAAAACTTATACAAATGATAAACAACCTACGAGAAAGGAATATATTCTTTCTGAATATATCATTCTTGCTTATAATTCTTGTCATACTGCCCCTTTTCTCACTGCCCTGTTAGTGTTGGCACTGGATATAGTATCAGATATAAATATAGCGCAGATCATTGCTAGATTTTTTAATCAAATTTTTCTTTTGTACACAAATTCTAAAACACGTAACACGGCCGTACGCTAACACCTACCTTCACATCTTCAAGCTGCTTCTGCAGGACCTCCGCATCCCTCAGCGCCACCTGCTGGCCAAGTAATGCCTCTTCGACATCGGACAACCAATCAGAGACCTCGGCCGCTTTGGTTTTCGCCTCTTCCACTTTCTTTTCGACGGAAGCCTGGTGATGAAATAACATCACAATAAGTTAGGACATTTAGTTAATGAATTATTTGTCTAGCATATATTGCTCATCGTTATATAATTTATTTATTGCCAATTCAAAATCAATCGGTTACAAATTTCAAAATCGATTAATTCAACATTTGCGAAATCATCACCAACTAAAAAAATTTAAAAATCACGTCACTAAAAATTTCGAAAAAAACACCAATATCGCCAAACACCGCAAATCACGGCAGCACTAGTGGCGCCCTCACCCCCGCATCACAGCGCCACCTACCTTGATGGCGTCGTGGCCGTGCACGGACGAGCGGCCGATCTCCGGCGCAAGCTCCAGCGCGTACTCTTGTTTTGAGCGCGCCGGCGGCACGACGATGCCCTTCTCCACCGCCTCCTTCAGGCCGATGCGCTCGCCAGTCATCGGGTTCAAGAACGTAGACTCATCAGCGTCTACGAACCCGCGAGCAATCGCGTCGTTAAGGGTCATGCGGCGACGCGTGCGCGGGTCGCACACCGCCACCTGGTGGCCGTCGATGAGCGCCGTCTCGACCGCCTCGGCAAGGTTTACGCGTTCGCCTGTTTTCGCGTCGTAGAACGCGCCGGCGTTGGCGTCGTAAACTGTCGCCGCGGCGGCGTGGAGGGACATCGCGCGGGCGTGAGGCAGCAGCAGCCCGCGAGACACGGCCTCGGCTAGCGGGACGTCTCGCCGCGCCTCTGTGTCTCGCACGACCCCCCGCGCGGCGTCCAGCATGCCCGCGGCCACCGCCTCGGCCGCCGAGATGCAGCGACCCGAGCGAGTGTCCTTGACGAGCAGCGTGTCAAGGTCGACGAGGCGTCTTGAGACTGCCTCGTCCAGCGTGAGGCTCTGCCTCGTCGCCGGGTCGACGATGCGTGACGTCTCGGGGTCGAGGAGGCCTCGGGTGATGCAGTCCTCAAACGAGATGCGGGGTCGCGTCTCAATGATCAGGTTTTGCTCCATCGCCTCCGCCAGGTTGTACTCCTGACCTGTGACGAGGTCAAAGGTCAAAGGTTATACGGTGAAGCAAGCATCACACGGTGTTGTTAAAATTAATTTGAACAAACATTTAAATTTTTATTTTTAGTTTATATATTTTTTATATATATTTTTACATATTTTCTTTAAAAAAAAGAAGGAAATAAATTCATGAAAAAATTAACCCCATATACGTTTACGTTATAGAAATTCTGTTTAAATATTATCCGACCATTTAATACCAATTGACGTGACAGAGAAATGTTGCCTCCTATAAAAATAAAGTGAACAGAGCGTCCCCTACCTACACTATGATTATATGCAACACACAGCGCCCCCTACCAGAACAACGATCATACACGACGTACAGCGCCCCCTACCTGTGTCGGGATTGTAGACGACACCGGCGTCGACGTCAATCAGACGTTTCTCGATCGCCTCGGCAACGGTGAGCAGCTCACCCGTCTTCATGTCTCGCACGGCCGGCGCGTCGGGGTCGATAAGGTTTCGCTCGACCGCCTCACGCAGCGAGACCGCCTCGCCCGTCAGCGGGTCGGTGAAGACGAGCGTCGAGACATTGACGACGCCGCGCGCCACCGCGTCGTGCAGCGTGATCGGACGGTCGCCGGAGGTCGCGGCGAGGTCGGCAGCGAGGTCGTCGAGGAGCGAGGCGGCGTCCTCGCCGAAGGTCGGGTCGTGGAGGCGGCCGCGGCGTGGGTCGAGCAGCGCCTCGGCGACCGCCTCGCGCAGCGAGACGCGTTCCCCGGTGCGGGGGTCGCGCGCACGCAGCGACGATTCCGTGATGAGCTTCCGCGCGATCGCCTCGTCCAAGGTCACGAGGTCGCCAGAGGTCGGGTCGCGCATGCAGCCCGTGCGCGCGTCGAACAGCCCGCGACGTATCGCGGCCTCGAGCGAGACGGGCGGGGCGGCGCGCACGAGCATGCCTCGCGAGAGCGCCTCGTCCAGCGGCACCGTCTCGTCTCGCTCGGCGTCGAGACACGTGCCTCGCGAGGCGTTGAGCAGGTGAGCGCGCTGCGCCTCGGCGAGCGTGTACAGCCGGCCGTCGTCGGTCCCGCGCAGCAGCGTCGTGTCGCCGGCGACGGCGCGCGCCGCCAGGGCGCGCTTCACGCTCATGCGTTCTCCCGTCGCGGGGCACGTCACCTCGCCGCTCGCGCGATCGTACAGTCCCTGCGCGACTACGTCGTAGAGCGACGCCGCGCCGCGCGCGAAAAGAAACACAAGGCCGTCGTCGACGGACTGCGCGACCGGGACCCACGCGGTGGCGCCGGTGTCGCGGACGCGCCCGGCCGACACGTCGATGAGACCCTCCTCGAGCGCGCGATCGATCGTGAGCACGTCGCCCGCGGCAACGTCTCTCACGGTCGCGGAACAAGCGAGCAGCAGCCCGGCGGCGATGGCCTCGCGAAGGTCGTACGTCTCGCCGGACCAGGGGTCGACGAGGGTGAGCGAGTCCGCGTCGAACGCCTTCGTCTCGATCGCCTCGCTCAGCGTCATCGGCTGCCGCGTCGCGACGAGACCCTGCCTCACGGCGTCTCCAAACGGGATCGAGACACCCGAGGCCGGGTCGACGACGACGCGGCGAGACGGGTCAAGGTATCCGGCGTCGATCGCCTCGACGAGGTTCCACGATTGGTTGGTGAGCGGGTCTCGGACGGCGGCCGAGGCGGGGTCGAGAAGCCCGAGACGCAGCGCGCGCTCGAGCGGCAGCGTCTCGCCGGAGTCCGACGTCCGGTACTCGCACGTCTCAACGTCGAGGCTGCCGTCTCGGCGCGCCTCAGCGAGGCTCGCCGCCGCGCGCACGAGCACGCCTCGACGCAGCGCGTCCGCTAGCGGGACGGCAGCGCCCCCTGCCGGGTCGGCGACGGCGAGGGTCGCGGGGTCGACGAGGCGGCGTCTCACGGCCTCGTCGAGACGCACGTACTCGCCTGCGGAGTCGCGCGCCGCCGCGCTGCCGCCGTCGACGACCCCCTGAGTCATCGCCTCGGCAAGGGTGAGCCGCGTCCCGGTGGTGGGCTCGCGGACGACCCCCCGCTCCGCGTCCAGCACCCCCGACGCCAGCGCCCTCTCCAGGGTCAGCGGCCGGAGGATCGGCCGGATGAAGCCGGCGGTCAGCGCGTCCGGCAGCGTGTACTTTCGCTTCGCGGCCGCGTCGCGAACGGTCGCCGCGAACCTGTCGAGCAGGCGCGCCTTCACGAACCGCGCGATCCGCTGAACCTTCCCGGCCTTCGCGTTGTACAGGTACGAGTCGTCGGCGATCCACCCGTCGGCGATTGCCGCCGACAGGGGGCGCCGCTCGCCCGTCGTCGGGTCGGCGAACTCCCGCGTTGCGGCGTTGTAGAGTCCGTACTGCAGCGCCTGGTAGAGCGACAGCGGCGTCTCAGCCTTGACGACAACGCCGAAGTGCAGCGCGTCGTCGAGATGCAGCGACTCTTTGCGAGCGAGGTCGGTGACGGTTGCCGCGGCAACGTCGAGCAGGCCGGTCGCGCGCGCGTCCGCGAGAGAGATGGCGCCGCCGCTGCGCGTGTTCTTCACGGCGGGGACGTCGGTGCGAAGGAAGGTGCGCATCGCACGCTCGAGCGTGACCCCGCGACCCTGGGGTCTCGTGGGGTGGCGTAGCGTGGCGGCGCCCGCGTCATACGCGCCCTCCCCCGCCGTCAGACAGCGGTACAGCGTCACCGGCTCATACTCCTCAGAGAGTAGAAGAATAGAGAAGGAATAGAGAAAACGAGAAAGACGAGAAAAAGAGAGTGACACACATACATACACACATAGCTGGCACGTCGTGGTGTAGAGAAATTGGGCACACACAACAAGGAGAAGGAAGAGGAGAGGAGAGGAGAGGGGAGGAAGAGAGAAGGAATAGAAGAAGCAAGAAAGACAGAGAGAAAGAGAGGGCAGAGAGCAGCAAGCACACACACACATAGCTAGCACATCGTGATGTGGAGAGCTGGCAAACACACACACACACCTGGCTGTATCTTGTGTCGAGTTCCTTCATCAGGTCTGTCATCTCATCTCTCTCCTCGGGCAAATTCTCGATGAGCGCCTCCAGCTCCATCGCCGCTACCTGCACGCCCTCTATGAGCCGCTGCTGCGACACTATGTCCACCTTTAGTGCTTTCAGATTTGCTAGGTTGTCCTGCACCTCCGACGGTTCGGTGGCTGTGGCCTTTGTCACCTCCTCCTCAGTCTTACCCTCCACCTAATAGAGAACAAGATGGTAAACACTAACCTTCTATCTGATACAGAGCAAGATGGTAAAAACTAACCTGCTATCTGATACAGAGCAAGATGGTAAAAACTAACCTTTCATTTAATATACAGCAAGATGGTAACCTCCTACCCACTACATACACAGACAGCAACATAGTTACAGTATATTTCAGTTAGCACTCTGTGTTTCAAGAATCGTTCCAGAGTGCTAACTGGTGTATCACCGAACCTATTATCTTTCGCAGTCTTACCCTCTACTGAATATGTGCTAAAACATTGCCAACCTTACCATTGAAAAGCAAATCGGCCCATTTCACACTGACATTTTATTGACATTACATTGACACTGACTTACAACTTATTTTTATAAATATACATATCGGTATATATAATACATAATATGTAAATATAATATGTATATACATATATATAATACATAATATGTAAATATAATATATATACATACATAATGCACATGCAGGCACCGCAAAGCGAACAACGCACGAAGACAGAAACAAACCGGGAGTTTGTTATCGATCCGGCGAACCCCGCAAGCGTAACAAGCGCTTGCAATGACGAACAACGTAGAGTTTGTGTACGCGACCGGCGAACGCGCGCAACGAACAACGCACGAAGACGGAACAACGCACGAAGACGGAACAACGCACGAAGACGGAACAACGGGAGTTCTCGTCATCGCGGCCGGAGGAACAGCGGCGTGAGTTCCGCATCAAGAGACCGGAGATCATCCGAGACCGCCGCGAAGTGCGAATGACGCTACCGACGCGCCGGGAGGAGAGCGCATCCCTCTCCGTCACCGAGACGACGCCTCCGCACGAGGAGAAAGAGGAGGAGGAGGAGGAGGAGGCAGAGGAGAGCCGATATGAGCAAGATACCATCGTGAGGAAGACCATACGGAAGGAGGTGATCGTGTCGGGAGACGCCGGAACCGCGCCGTTGGCGGGAGACGCCGGAACCGCGTCGTGGAACGAACGGCGCACAAAGACAAAGAAGGGCGTGACGTTTACGAACGACGTCGCCATGACGACGCGGAGGCAGTGAGGCGGGACTGTGCGACGTGCGCGCGCGAACTTTCCGCGACCCCTCATCGGGTCGCGTCCTCACCATCGACGAAGCCGTCTCCGCGGGGCTTCTCTCTCCAGGGGGGGGGTGATGCCGCGGAGGAGCTGATCCCAGAGGAGGAGGAAGTGATCCCGGAGGAGGAGGAGGAGGAGGAGGAAGGAGCAGAGAAAGAGCCGATATGAGCAAGATCACCGCTGCGTGAGGAAGACCATACGGAAGGAGGTGATCGTGTCGGGAGACGCCGGAACCGCCCCGTGGAACGAACGGCGCGCAAAGACAAAGAAGGGCGTGACGTTTACGAACGACGTCGCCTATGACGATCGGCGAGCCGTGGAGCGGGCTGTCGACGTGCGCGCGCCGTGCAGAACTTTCGCGACCCTCATCGGTCGCGTCCTCACCAATCAAAAGACGCGAATCCGTCTCCGCGGCTTGCCTCTCATCTCCGACAGCCCACTCGCGGAGGACTGATCCCAGAGGATGAGGAATGATCCCGGAGGAGAGGAGGATTAGAGCCGCCTGACCGCTGTACCCGCTGTCTACGCGGTGAGAGGGCGCGTAATGACGCGGTGCGCCGCCCACGCTCTAAACGCCACCCACGAGACCGCCAGGGTCGGGTCACGCTCGATGCGTGCGAATGCGCACATTCCTTTCACGCGACGTCCCGCGTGAAGAACACGCTGCAGCGGCGCGCCATCTCTCTCTGGCGGACGCTTGCGCGCGACCGCCTGCTCGACGTTGCCCGCGGCAACCGTTCAACTGGACAGCAGCCCCGAGCATCTCTCGCTCAGCAAAGAGTCGCTGCATCTCGATACCGCTCACTATTCGGGTCGTCGTCAAAGGCGCGGAGACGCGCGCTTGTCGCTCTACCAGGCGCTGCAGTACGGCAACTCTACAACGCCGCACACGCGGGAGTTCGCCGACCCGACCGAACGGAAGAGCGGCGCCCGCCTGTCGGTCGGCAAATCGCCGACGGGATGGATTCGCCGACGGACTCGACCTGTAAGCAACGCAAGCCGGGAAGGTTTCAGCGGAGTCGACGGCGGTTCGTAGAAGGCGCGCCTGCTCGACAGGTTCGCGGCGACCGTATCGCGACGCGGCGCGAAACGTCA